ACTAAAATTCCAGAGTCAGTAAAGCGTCATTCAATACAACCACCAAAAAGTCCTCAAATAATCGCAAAGCAATCATTAAATCGGGTCACTTCGGTCTCCACCGCCAATACTATTGCGGGTCCGGGCATTGACCCCAAACCCAAGGCCTCGCCTCCTGTTTCAAAGCCTCCGCGAAAGAGCAAAGAAAGCAAAACTGGCTCTGAATCAGACGAACCAGTGTTTGCCTCTCGAGAAGAAGTGTTAAACACACCGCCGAATATGAATTTTATAGAAACTTATAGACCATTGAAAGATGAGCTCTTATACGACGAACCCGCAGATCTGATAACCAATACCATCACCAATCAAGAGGAACAGCATATGAAGAGTCCCTTCTGCCCGAGCCCTCCGCCCGTCAATCAAACCGTTTCGAAGTTAACGTCTGTATTGAAGATGATGTTCACCGGAAACACTGCGAACCAAATTCAGACCAAATATAAAGACAACAAAGCAAATATGTCGGCGCGAAACAGCACTAGTAGTTCAACAAATAGTGGTTTGCCATCGCCTGTCGGACAGACGGCTCAGCAATCACTCGACGCTCAAGAGGTTGCGTACAGTGAAGTCTCCGATTTTGACATCGATGATAAAAGCATTCTTTTGTTATATTGGCGACTAAGATTGGTAATGAGATTTTATGAATTGCTATCAGACCTTCGCCTACTAACGCTTGTGCTTATGCGCTTACAGTAAGTAGTCCTAAATTTATTAAACTTATTTTATTGTACAAAATCAAATGAAACTAATTCTCAAACTCAACACTACGTTCAGAATGACTGCGAATACGCCAGAGTCGTCAAGAGACCAATTAATAACACTTCTGTTTAATGTCAATCATATTTAATACAAGTGTTTAATCGATCAAAAGTTTGACAACAAAATAGTCCACATTTTGTCAATCGAAACACTTATGCGTTCATTAGTTTCAAATAATGATAATTATATTTTTAATACAATTGAAACCATTGACTATTAAAATATGGTAAATGTTTGGAATTAATGGACAACTATTCTGTGATAACATGATTAACCGAAACAGACTATTGTTAAGACTAGTCTTCAAATACAGTGATTGTATTCAATCTCTAACGTAAACCATTTGTTGATTGATTGATATATCAATCAAACCGATTAAAGAAATTTAACATTTTGTTTCATGTTTTTATTAAAGATTTAGATTCTGTTATTTACTAAAAATTTTATGTAATTTATAAATTAAAAATAATAAATATTTCAAATTAAGTAATTACAAAATTAATTGAAAGGAAAGTGTTTCTGACGTAAAGGAAATATTTGTTTCGAAATACAGTTGTTTTCCTGTTTTGACAACTTTTTTGGTACAATAGCTGTTATGTCGAGAATTTATCGATTCATTAATGGTTTCAATAATAAAAATAGGAATAATAATAATATTTATCTAACGAAAGCCTTTATTCAGTTTTGAACTCAGTTTTGCGCAAATGTCTCTTTAATTCCCATAAAGTTTTGACTCTCTTTTCGCTTTTATGCAACTCTTGTGTTGTCTCGCAATCACTTGTAATAAATTCTTCGCTTTTAATCTTAGGCTCGGATTTGTGAGCAAAAGATTGCAAACACTTCTCTTGTTTCACTTGAGACACGAGTTGTTTTGCTTTTGTGAAACGAGTGTCCATTTCGGGTGATTTAGGCTTAACTTCAATGGATTGCAATTCTTTGGTCAACGAAACAAACTCTTCGTCGATGCACTCATTTTGCGTCAATTCTTTCAATCGATTACTCAATTGATTGCCAAATAGTTTCAAATCTAAGTTCTCTTTTGAGTACACATTGATCTTCCCATTCAATCGACTCATCTCTTCGTTTAATGTTTGCTTCAAATCCATAATAGACTTCAATTCTGTAGCTTTGGTTTGGATGTCATTAACCTTTGTTTGCAACTCATCTCTCAATACAATCAATTGTTTGACTCGTTCTTCGCATTCAATCGTTTGCCTCCGAAGACAGCCATTAGTTCCGTACTCTCGGCTGAATTGGAAGCACTTCTCCACGAATTCGTCGATTTCTTGCTTTCGATTGGCTTTCATTTGAACCTATATTTCAATCACAATAAATGACACGAAAAGGGGAAACCATTTGAACAACACTTTTACCATCGTTTGTGTCAATTGTCTTAATTTGGTTTCAAAGCATTGGATTTGTTGCCAAAGAATTGTGTTTTCGTTGTCAATGAAACCCAATTCAGTGGTCGTCTCAACACTTGTCGCCATTTGATCGCACATTTGGCTCTCAATCTGTTTCAACGAAGTCTTCATTGCACGCAATGTCTGCTCATTCTTCCGGATCTCTGTCTTCACTGAAACAAAAAACACAATGAAAGACATGAATCAATTGAATGGTGTCTTAATCTGAGACATGAGTTTATAATAGTCTTCTGCTCTTTGGCTCTGTTTTCCGATGCAATCAAATCGTCGAAGATATCGACCAAACCCTTCGTTTCCATTGCTTTCGACAAAGAGTTCGGCTTTGAGTTCGGCTTTGAGTTCGGCTTTGAGTTCGGCTTTGAGTTCGGCTTTGAGTTCGGCTTTCGGTCTAAAGATCTAAAGAATAATCAAATCAATGATCGAAAAGTGATTCAAAACTTGGAATCCAAGCGTAAAATGCGTTTCAAATTCGGTCTCACTTTCGTTGTGAGCACTGATTGGCTGTCATTCACGTCACGTGACTCTCAATGCGTTCCTCTGTTTGAGTGGAAAAGCGCTGAAAGTGTTGTGAAATTGTGTTTAAATTGTGACCACTTTTTCATATGATATTCACTGTCAGTATTGACACTACTCTAAGACAATGACCGACACAACTGACGAACCGTTGGATCGATTGAAACAACTCTTAGATACAGACCAACGAAGCAGTGATTGTCTCACAAGTGGTGATCAAAATGTAGTCAACAATTGTTACGAATGGCAAAAGAGTCCGAAACTGATTAACCATTCATTGAATGAATTCAATACCAAACCAAACAATTGTCTGAAAGGCTGCAAATGGTCTGCAGACGGATCCTGTCTTATGACTAACAGCGACGACCACTCCTTAAGACTCTTTAATTTACCGCAAAATCTGTGCCAAAATCCCATCATTTTGGACGAAGACATCGACCAAATGGTAAAGTAATGGTTGAATACATTTGATTGCATTTCATTGTAATGAAGACATAAGTGATGACTAATTAAAGGCGAATTTGATTCAATGCTTACCACTGAAGACAATTGGCTCTCAAGCGAAGACAATTGTCTTGTTTTGTGTTAATGAAGGCATAAATAATTGTTTTGTTTACTTTTAAAACACTATTTATTTAAAGTCTATAAATAGTATCTGTATTTCAAAACTACATTTAATTTATTAAACCATTTAATGGTTTCTAACAAACGAAAGATGATATGAAACCTAATCTGATGTCGAAAATAGTTATTAGTTTTAAAAGTTTTGTGCAATGAATTTGAATTAAATTAAAGTATTGTTTATTTGTATTAAGAATTCAGTGCTTAAAGTGAAAGAAAGCGAAATTATATACGATTTTTGTTGGTTTCCGAAAATGAATTCATGTCTTCCGTCCAC